ACCTGGAAGTACAACATATGGCCAAAAGTATGTGCACACCTGACCATCACACCCGTATGTGGTTCTTCCCCAAGCTGTTCTCACAAAGTTGGAAGCACACAATTGTATAGATTTCCTTTGTATGCTGCAGCATTATAATGTAACTAAAGACTCAGGAAAAACGACATATTTCACCTCAGGTGTATTTTTCTCTTTCATGTTCTTGAATTGCTTTTATTGACTCATTTTCTTGTTACCCGATGTTTTCCTCAGTTCTGATGAGGTATTGTGAGACCACATTTTCTCTGATTTTCTTGCTATTGTGAAGCTGAATGTATAAATGTTGTTCACATTCAGCTGTACGCTCGTCCAGTGTGACCCATCAGGCCAGTTCATCTGGCGTATATGTATTATTTTAAACAGAATTAGAGCCGTTTGGACCAACAGGGATTTCGTCTGTTTGTAATTTGAGTCAGTTCCGTTGCATCGACTCGCTGTAAACAAAATTCTCAATAAGACCAGGAATCAAATTTATGCATAAATACTCATACAGAAGATGTGTTTCTATGATCCAGAAACTGCCGTACGACTAGTTCAGTCTGTAAAAGTAGGTGTTGATGAATTCTCTAGAACAGCAGCTCTGACAGTAGCGCAGGTTTATATTAACGCGCTCGTTCTAATACGTTATCGTTTCTATAGCAACAGCTCGTTCGCAGGGACGTGTACGGTACACACTTCCCTTTATTAAATTGTTTGTTTATTTATTTATTTATTTATTTATTTATTAAATACAAATTTGGACATCTAAAATTTGCCACATTCTACTGACACACAAATTCGGCCAAATATTTAAAAAAACGAAATGATGCAAGAAGACGTCCTATGAAGGTCATGGTTATAATGAGCTATGAACACATTCATATCATGTTATGAAGCTTTCATAAGGTATTACGCACACTGTTATAAATCACTTGAGAATATACTTGACAGCTATATTTTTATAGGCATTATTAAATGTTAAATGCATTAGAAGTAGTTTTTATATCACATTATAATATCATTACAAAAAAAAAAGCCAAGCACCTGATATTAATGTGTTATACAGTAAATGTATAAAGGCATTATAAGCATTGCTATGCCTTTTCATAAATAAATATACCAATGTCAATGCTTTATAACAGGTAATGAATGAATTCATAAGTCATTATACCTATGGCCTGCATAAGAAGTGTTAGAGAAGACTTTTGCACAGGACTGTTTCTGTTTCTGCTTTTAACTTTAGTCTGTATTTTCATTTATCAAATGTTATTATTATCCACGTCAAGGGTTTATATATATATATATATATATATTTAGATCACATATTTAGTGCACATAATTCACTTAGTTTTCATGTTTTACTTCTTGCTTGTTTATTGTGTGTGTGAGAGAGAGAGATACAGAGAGAGAGATACAGAGAGAGAGAGAGAGAGAGAGAGAGATAGATAGATAGATAGAGAGAGAGAGAGAGAGAGAGAGAGAGTGAAGCCGCCAGCGATTTCGCTGAGCAGCTGTTATTATTACAAACCGCTATGATTTCATATATATGGAAATCTATTTATCAGATATGTTCCATAGATATAAATATGCACAGCTAATATCGGTCTCAGTTTCCCTGAGATGGAACTCTGTTTGGCGTAAAAAGTCCTGTGTATAAATCAGACTGATCCGGGATTCATGTCATACAGGAATAACGATTATCATCAGCTTCGGACAGAAAAAAAAAATATTAATAGAAAATGTTTTCGTAGTTGAAATAATCAAGTCATAAAATTCCGATTGAAAATAAATTTTCCCTTAATACATAGTACCACTTACATCAGTTCTATTCAATATTTCACTTTTAACATTCACACAGCTGTATGCGATTAAATAAGATAAAATAAAACATAATTATGACTGAGTTGGATTCAGATATTTTGGATTTATTTGGTGTTTTCTATGTAACGTTTCATTAAAAATGTAATTAAAATTAATTAAAATGGATCACTTTTTTTTAGAAATGCAATCTGAGCTTTAAATAAACCGCTGCTGCAAAGCTGATCTTAATCTTTTAGACCAAAACGTGTGATAACACGGCAGCATCAGCCTCAGATTAGCCACGGTGACAGCAGCGCAGGTTTATATTAACGCGCTCGTTCGAATACTTTTCTTTTCTACACTAACAGCTCCTTCACGACGTGATCTTTCCTCCCCGATATTTTTCTTTTTCTTTCTTTCTTTTTTGTGATATTTTCCATTCTTTCTTCATCACTTTTTCTCTACCTTGTTTTTTTTATTTCTTGTGTGCTTCTTTCTTTCTTTCTTTCTACAGGTTTTCTGTAAGGAGGTGTTTATTTAACATGTATGGAAGGAGTCTCCAGTGTCAGCACTTTGTAACAGTCAAAGGTAAAGCCGTAACTTTTAGTTTTCCGACATCTTCAGGAGTTTATGCTTCTTCGTGCCTTCTTAGTAAAGTGACAAGCTGCGATTTTATTTTTAACTTCTAAAGAGAGAGTGAGAGAGAGAGAGAGAGAGAGAGAGAGAGAGGAAAAAAAGAAGCTCGTGAGGGAATGACTATAGCTGCTACAACATAATTGGGAACAGGAACTAACGTATTTTTCCACAACATTTTATGTAAATATAAATGTATAAAAAGAGTCATTCTTTAATAAATAAAAATTGTAATATTGCTGTGTAAGAGGAATTAAACACTTGGGGACGTGCTGTTAGAGGAAAGTTATCAACTTTGGGGTGGTAACAGTATCTCTGCTGCATCACACCACACTGTCACTGATTGTTTTACTGTAACGGCGCAGCACGCGGTGGTCTTATTGCTTACTGCACATACGGCAGCATCATTGTGATAAATTGTCTCATCTGATGAACTTCAACTGATGAAAACAGGCTTCTACAAATGTAGTACTTGCCCTTCAGTGGTATTAACACACAGCCTCAGCTCCTGAAGTGCACCGCAGGAAGTATGTTCGTCTCTTTGCATTGACTCCGCCCACTATTTTATAATCCCGCATTCCACATTCATTAATTCAAGCAGGCAAAACAGGCAAGATGTGTTATTCTGTTCGTTTCTTCCCAGGTGTTATCAGGCTTGCACGAGCAACACTGTACTCGTTTTCAGCTTGTTGTCTTTTGCCAGACGTCCTCAATGAGACGAGGACAGTAAAGCGAGCAAAACAGCGAAAGTAGGCTAAAGCTCCCGGTGCTGTTTCAGCATAAACAAAGGTTGAATGTCTTGGTAATAATTCAGCAAGCGGAAATCGTCTCCTCCGGAAGAGGACTTATTATACTTATTAGATTTGAGGACTGTCACAGATAAAAAAAAAAAAAGAGAGAAATAAAAGGGGGGGGGGGGGGGGGGGGAGAGATGAATCCCTGACGCAGGCTGAAATGTGAAATAATGATGTGCCTGACATTTTCTCTGGATGACTCGTGGCCTCAGTGTAATCACATGACATTTGCCTTAATAAGAGAAATGCCTGGAAAACAATGACTTATCCTTCAAACTATATTTCTCTCAAATCTAATATTTTTTTTCTTTTTTTTTTTTTTACATTCACAAACTATCTAGCAGCGTCTGTGAATAAATGTGAGTAATTCCCTGTCTAAGTGCACACTCACTGGCCTGGTTTCCTGTTTAAAGCTGTTTTTTTTCCCTCTCCATCACTACTCTGTTGGTGCGGTCGCCACGGAAACCTTATTTATTCAGTATATAATTAAGTGAAACCTTAAAATGAGAGATGACTTATTCAGAGCTGACCTCTTTTTCTTTATCTCTCCTAACCAAAGTGGAATCTGTTTATGATTACTCTCTTTTCATGCGCACGTTTCGCACTTCCTTTATTACACACAGTTTAAAGCGTCTCGGACCTCATTTATCAAACTGGACACGAGTTCTTAACACTTACAATTTTTCATTTATTAAGGAACGCCGCGTCGTACATTTTAACCATTTAGGGTTACATTTCATGTTGGGGAAGTTATAGCTTTAACTCTGACTGTTACAGAAACACTGACACTGGAGACTCCTTCCATAAATGTTAAATAAACGTCTCCTCATTTATAAAAAAATAAAAATGATCAGTATATGTGGAGCGTATGGAACTGTACAAGATCCTGAGAATGAGCTGTTACTATAGAAACAATAATGTACGTGGATTAGAATAAATAAACAGGAACTAGGACGTTCCACAACATTAAATGCAACTATAAACGGATAAAAGTTTGACATGTCGTTCATTAATGAATAAAAAAAGTAATCGTTGGAAAAGTAGTATGAGAGGAATAAAACACATGAGGATGTGCTGTTATGGGAAAACAATCAACTTCCAGGTGGTAACAGTAGCTCCTCTTCATCACCATCCTGTAGCTGATTATTTTACTATAACGGCATGACGCACAGCGCGTTGTTCCTTACGTGGCATTTGATTTCTGTTTCTGCGGAAGTGGAAGATAAGATCAGACTGCAATGATGTGCAGAACAAAAGGAACTAAAAGTAAAACAAACCTTTATTTCACATCTGATATAACTCTGCACTGTACATCTGAGATATAAAAAGAACTACATGTATGAAAATAGCACGAGAAATAGAAATGAGTTTTAAGAGAGGCCCAAAAACTCACATACACACCCTCTGTGTTTATCATTCGGAATCACGAGCCCATAAACAGCACAGCACATCGCTGAGGGAAACGAACTTCAACACTGCACTCACAATCCGGTAACACATGGAAAATACACACCGACTCCTTATTAACACAAAGCTGTATACTGTGTGTGTGCGTGTGTGTGTTAATGTTAATGTTAATGTTAACTGTAGGTTTGTATAAAACATGGTTGGGAAATAATTAGAAATTACAAATTTCTTTTCCTCAACAACGTCACTGATAAAATATAACGAAGTGGGACGTGGTAGCTTAGTGAGGGACGTGGTAGCTTAGTGAGGGAAGTGGTAGCTTAGTGAGGGAGGTGGTAGCTTAGCGAGGGAGGTGGTAGCTCAGTGGTTAAGCTGTTGGCCTTCTAATTGGAAGATCATGAGTTCAAATCCCAGCACCACCAAACTATCACTGCTGGGCCCTTGAGCAAGGCCCTTAACCCTCAGTTGTATAAATGAGATAAATGGATAAAGGCGTCTGCCGAAATGACATAAAAATGTAAATACCAATGGCTTCTCATATCATAGCAACACTTTACAGAGCTTTTAGATGTTCAGTACACAAGCCCTGAACCACACACAGAAAAAAAAACCCAAAAGAAACTTAAGTGCTATGTTGTTACGGCAACCGGATAACTTGTTATTTTGAGATGTTAATGCTGTAAAGTTGATTTAATATCTCATTTGTGTTTCAGTGAGCTGGAGTACTGACGCGGGGCAAGTGTGCTTTTCAGCTGCATTTCACACTTCTGAATTTTAGCACTGTACTGGACTTTCCACCGCAGTCGCTATGACAACTGAAACTGCAACATGTATGCTTGTAATTCGGGAAACTATAACTTGGAGATTTACTTTACTTCCCTCGTCACTTTACTTCGCTCGTGACTTCATTTTGCTTGCCACTTTACTTCCCTCGTCACTGTACTTCGATTGTGACTTTATTTCACTTGCCACTGTACATGTCACTTTCACTTTACTCATCACTTCACTCGTCACTTTACTCGTCACTTTACTCCTTTCCTTCACTTTACTTGTCACTTGTCATATTTCTTTACTCGTCACTTTACTTCACGTTACTTTACTTCTGTCAACACTTAACTCCTCACTTTCACTTTACTTGTCACTTTACTTCACTCCCGACTTTACTTTGCTTGTGACTTTATTTCACTTGCCACTGTACATGTCACTTTCACTTTACTCAGCACTTTACTTCACTTGTGACTTCACTTCACTCCTGACTTTACTTTGCTTGTCACTTTACTCCTCTCCTTCACTTTACTTGTCACTTGTCATATTTCTTTACTCGTCACTTTACTTCACTAGTCACCTTCACTTTATTCGTCACTTTACTTCACGTTACTTTACTTCTCTCAACACTTTACTCCTCACTTTCACTGTACATGTCACTTTCACTTTACTCAGCACTTTACTTCACTTGTAACTTTACTTCACTCCTGACTTTACTTTGCTTGTGACTTTACTTCTCTCAACACTTTACTCCTCACTTTCACTGTACATGTCACTTTCACTTTACTCAGCACTTTACTTCACTTGTAACTTTACTTCACTTTACTGACTTTACTTTGCTTGTGACTTTACTTCTCTCAACACTTTACTCCTCACTTTACTCCTCACTTTACTCCTCACTTTTACTCTTGAAACTCGTGACTTCTGGACTCTTCACTCACTCTGGTCATTATAGCTTTATAACCAGGACAATAATACTATATTTCTTGTATAATGTTTTTACTTTATCTTTATTTCCTTTTATTATTGCTTATTTTTATACTGTTTTTTCTTTTCCAAATATAGATTTCTTACACTTTTTCTACACATGCTGCTGTTTGTAGTCATTTTCTGTTTCTGTAACTATTTCGGATGAATAAAGTCTCATCTTATTATGTTGACTGTGACTGAGTGATCTCATTAACAATATATTTTAGCTCTTTGTTTCAAATTAATAACATGTCCAAATTATTTTATTATTATTTTACTTAATGTCTTCTTATTTCAACATTAAAGCTCATTATCCCGTCTTAATATCTCAGTATTTCAAGACAGTTTCTAATTATTTTTGACTTAATAACCGGTTATTGTGGGGAATTATCTCGTTGTTTAATATTTCACACTCAACAATCTATCAGTTGATTTTTTTTTCTTCAGCTAATGTATTGAATAGTAATTTATAAATTGTTATTATTATATATACTATTATATATTTTACATATTTCATACGTTGTTTTACAGACAGTTAGTAAGCTAAGCTAAATGTTAAATGATCCATTCATTGTATAGAATTCTGTCAATTTAAGTGTTAAAAGATAAAAACATATATAGAAATAATGAGATATTACGTCAAAATAGCCGCAAAATATGTTGAAATAAGTTATTACATCAAAATCATGAGATATTATGTAGAAATAATGGCATAATGTCTTGAAATAAGTTATTAACTTGAAACGACCAGTTATTAAGCCGGAATTACAAGATCTTAAGTCAAACTAATAGCATCAAATCTTGAAATAACAAGTTATTATGTAAAAAAAAAAAAAAAAGTACGTCGAAATAATGACATAATTTGATTGATAATGACATAATTCTTGAAATAGCAAGTTATTATGTAAAAAAAAAAGTCGAAATAATGACATAATTTCTTGATATAACAACAAAATATCTTAAAATAACAAGTCAAAATAATATGAATTTAACATAACGAGCTATTGAGTTGAAACAATATCTGAATAGAGTTATTAAGTCAAAATAACTATAATAATATCTTGAAATTATGACTTATTAAGTCAAAACAGAGAAATATTCATAGGAAATAATGACATTTAATACTGAGTTATGTCAAAAGAGAGATTAATTTCAAAATATTGACATATCACTTTAGCATGGTTTGCAGTTCAGGGCTACTGCAGGTTGTAAAAAATGATACTGCACGTCACAAAGCAATCCTTAATACAGATTTAGTCAGCGGAAAAAAGAAAGAGATGGATATTAAACAGTTACTACATCCTCCAGCCATATCTGTGAACAATGATTTCTTTTGGTGAATCATGATTCATGAACCACGAATCATGAATCATGATTCATCAGCATTGGATTCTTTGGCATTTTGACTGAACTGTAATCGCTTCCTTTAGGATTTGTGTCTTTTTTTTTTTTTAGTTAACAAAACGTCCAACAGAACAGCCAGCTATCGCTTTACCATGTCCCATATTTCCTATGACATATGAAAAATTAATAACTTGATCTAAACACTATAAATGTGTGAGCTGTCAAGTAACAAAACAGTAAAAAAAACAGAAATTGCTGAAGTGCTGAAAATAAAATAAATGAAAAAAAAAAAGTTGAAAGAATTGGTAACATTTTATTTCAAAGGTACCTACATTCGGCCTTTATAACACATCCATAAGCAAGGCTTATGTCAAGACTTATTTTTATTACACCACAGCGCTGTTGAATACTGGATTCTGATTGGTCAGAAGGTGTTGATTAGTTTTCTATAACAACGTGCTGTTCCTATAGAAACGTTATCGTACACAGGGACATGCTCCAGATTTAAAAACTTGTGTAATTGTTGAGGAAGTTTTTCCGTAAGAAGATTCATCATTTATTTAACGTTTATGGAAGGAGTCTCCAGTGTCAGCAGTTTGTAACAGTCAGAGGTAAAGTTTTTTTTTTTTTTTTAACTTTTCTCTGTAAAATGCTTTTTTTTCCATCTTATTCACTTCAAGAGAGAGAAAAAGAGAGGCTGGGGAAATTTACAACTGTTTATAGCTGCTATAATGTAAGTGAGAACAGGAACTAACTTGCGTCGTGGACGTTCCACGGCATTAAACAGAGAAAATACTTTAATACATTTTTAAAAAACGTTAATGGCAAATTAGTGTAGTACAAGAGGAATAAAACACTCGGGATGTGCTGTTATTGGAAAATAATGAACTTCAAGCTGACTGTGGTCCTCTGCTTCATGTTGCACTGTCGTTGATTATTTTCCTATAACTGCATGACATTTTGTAGAAATCCTTCTTTTAACTTACTCACTTATACAGTTTTACAAAGACTTTATAATAAAGGAAATACGTCCCCATATATAATACTAATAACAAATAAAAACTATAAATATATATAAATCTACAGCATATTTATGCAATGCTTATGGATGTGCTATCAAGGCTCAGTGTTTCTACCTTTGAAATAGTGGGTTGGACAGATTTAAAACCGATTTCCACTCACAGACTAAAATAAAACTTTTGACATAACTCTGAACATTATACAATATGGTTAAACCTTTGAGGAAAAAAAAAAAAAAGGCATCCGTTAAAAAACCTGAAATCTCAGGCGTGAAATATTACTGCACAGTACTTTGTCTGCAGGGGGTTGATGATCAAATGCAGTTAGTTTTTCTTCTCCGTCCATTATTTCCCCGGGTTTGATTAATGGTCTGATTCTAAGGCCCAGTTATAAACAGCACTATTAGATCGAGTTTCTACCCACGCGGTACATATGGCTTTAATTCACTTACCGAACCTTTTCCAGCATCGTGGGTGTGTTACGGAAAATCTCAGCCGGAAAGAGCAACACCATCAGTCTGGGGGGGGCTAGCACCACCAATAATGAACAGCTAATAATTATTAATCATTACGCCAAAAAAAAAACAAAACAAAAACGCATCAACGACTGCTATGATAACGATAGCCGAAACACTATTATCAAACTAGCATAAATCGCAAAATAATGGATCGACCCCATCACAACGAAAGTTCACGATACGGGCAATGAAACGCAAGAGGAGGATCAGTTTGTCTGCACTTCACCACACGTTTCTGATGAATTCAATACATCAACAACAGAGCACGAGACAAACTAACCTCAAGAAGAGAACCTCAAGAAGAAAACCTCATACTAGATATAGAAAATGTCAGAATAGGCATCAAATTATGATGTAGAAAGAAAAAAAAAACAACGACAAACTTTATTCAAGTAAATGCTACCCTTAAATAAAAAAAAAAAATATATATATATATATATATATATTGCTATTGAAGAACATTACAAATAAATACGCCTTAATTGTAATCCATGACAATGGTTTTTAAAATTGTGTATAATACAAAAAAAAAATAAATCAGATTGCCTTCATACATGTATTCTCAGCTTAGCATGAATCCTTTGGCTATGACCACCTTTTGAAGTAGATGTTATAAAGTCATCTTAATAATACGGATCATCTGACAGTGACCCTAAGGCAACTCAGTAACTTATCAAATAAATTTGGTTATGAACACAGTGGTAATGTAGGGTTAAAGACTATCGAGTTCTTGATAAATGGAAATTACTGATGAGAATTAAAATTAATAAAACAGAGAAACACTTTACTTGAGCCCTGTGTCATAAG